AAATCTTCCCACTGTTACGTACTTCGCGAGGAATTTAACTTTTTAAATGCCGTCCCAGAATGATAATGAGTAGGATTATAAGGTTGGAATTACTTTTGGTCTTGATGCCGATTCTAAGGTGAATGAAATTATCAGCCAGTTCAATGTTGAGACTGTCAACAGTGACGTGAAAGCCACGGCGCGTATAGGTCCGTTTAGTGGCCCAAGTGAGCTGTTGTCGGGCAACCATGTAAGCCAACCAGCCATGTTATAGATTTCAAATCATAAATATCATAAACATTATTATAAATATTTACATATATGTAACACTTTATCTTAACACGTTCATGTAAAACCGTTGCAAAATGAATAAAGCTGTCAGCTACCTGTGGATTGTTCAGCTTGGGATCTTAATTAAAAATAATCGCATTACACACTCTGAAGGCGTTGAAGACATGTGAAGGCGTTTTTTACAGTACATATATTACATACTCGCATATAAATATATTTTATTAAATATGGGAAATTTTCTTAAAGAAAAAAATCTCATTTATGATTGACTTAGCATTTGTAAATGATTAACTACGAAGTACTACTTGTCGATATGGCGTCATGCATCACTGATCAAAGTCATTACAACGTCAGCGGCTATAAAATTACACACACACACACATCCATACACAAACATATATTATATGTTTATAGTATTTATTACATTTATATGTGCAAGCGCAGGAATGCATTTAATCCCTAAGTATTTTATTCGCTGATTTGTATTAATTGGTGAATATGCGCACAAATAAATATTTTTTGATTACAAAAAATTTACTAGTTAATTGTTGTGATTTCATAAACACCAACACGCACACACACACTTATTTCAAGTCATTTTTGTTGGAATTCACTGTTTGTAAATGATAAGGAAAAAAATAACTATGACTTATCAATTTAAAAAAAAAAAAAAAAAAAAAAATCGCATGCAATTTAAATTGCCAAGCAGTGTTCGCCGATGAATTAATTGCATAAATTATGCACCGTTAGACAAGCGTCAAATCACTTTGTACTCTGCGCGTATGCATACAAAGATTTCTTAATTATAATTGTATAGGGTTAACCATTTTATGGTTTCGAAAAAAAAAAACATAAATTAAAAGCATTTAAAATAATTTTCCTCATGAAATTTCATTTCAAAACCTTAAAGTTTCAATTTTGAATTATACGAGGGGATTAACAAAAGTTCGGTCAGTTGGTGAATTTAAATTTTTTTTTTTGACAAATCTAAAAATACAAAAACTTTTGCAATTTCTTTATTTGTCTTCCTTTCAAATTTTAAAACGATCGCCTAGAATGAAGACGAAAAAAGGCAAGATAGATGAGGAAAGGTCAGATGAAATTCCAACACCAAACGCAAACAGAAATTCGCCACGTGATTCTCTTCGGGTTTCGGCGTAATTCACAGCCAACGCAAATATTCAGTGAGTGCCAAATTGCATAGGGAACAATTGCACCGTCTATCAAGACTATTTCCAAGTGCTTCCTAAGATTCCAGGCCTCACACTTTTCCGTAGAGGACGAGCCCCTAGAAGGACGACCAAAAACTTCCACTGGTGACGTTACTGTAGCTCTGTTGAGGTCCAAAATTGATGAAGACCCACGGTTGACACAAGAAAAAATTGCTAATGAATTGGACTTCAATGTCATGGCTGTATCGCGAATATTAAGTTAACATGTGGGATACACGAAGAAATCTACGCGTTGGGTACGACGAATTTTAAATGAAGCCCAAAAAGAGGTTCAAGTGAATTTTGCTCAATTTTTCCTATACAAATTCGAAAATGTTCAGTCTAGCAACTTAAGTAAAGTCGTTACTGCGGACGAAGCTTGGTTCTAAAAGTACGATTCAGAAACCAAACAGCAGTCCATGGTAGGGGCACAACATGAGCAAACCCACCCACCGTAAAATCTAAGCACCAAAAAAAGTAGAAAAAGTAATGTTGTCAGTTGATGTCGCCCGATATAAAATCTTCGCATACTATTCCACTGGAAAAGGGTCAGACGGTAACTGCAAAATGGTACAGCGAAGAGTGTTTACCAGAAGTTTTCAAAATTTTTTTGGAAAACCACACTGCTGATATAACGTCCAATACCATGTTTTCCGCATTTAGCACCTTCTGATTTCTGGTTATTTCCAAAAATTAAAAAAAATTAAAAGCAAAGGTCTTTAAAAGCAACGAGGAGATTATTAATGCGGTTAATGCAGAACGGTGTTCACGTTTGAATCCCCATTTTTGGGGCGCATTTTAAGCGATCCATTTTCATAAATGCCTGACATTTAACTAAACGCAAACAAATTTGGTTTGACAGCTAAGTTTGACAGATTTCAAAATGCAGCCCTGTACATTTGAAGCCACAATATGAATAACCCTGTATGTAAAGTTTAAATTAACAATTAACAGGTTTACACAGTAGTAGTTACTGTTTTGTACAAGTTGTTTGCATATTGAATATTTATTAAAATTACAGCGTTAAAAGCAGCACAATTTCACGCTCTAAAGGTGAGATTAATTTATGCATTTTAATAAGTGCTGCCATATGAAATAATTTATCGAGTTTTTCAAAAGATATGAGGGGGGGTCGTAATTAAACTTGATTTGGGATGAGAAACTTTGAATTACGAAATTTAAAAAATAAAAGAAATGAATAAAAATTAAATAACTAAATAAAAAAAGCTCATCTTCCGTTGTTAGATTAGTTTATTAAATAAATATTATGGGCCTTACTGGTATAGTAATTTGGCTACCTTGCGGTGTTGTTGTATTAATTACCATAGCTGTGGTATGCGTTCAAACAGCCTTGGCCGGAGTTTGGGCTTTAAAGCAATAAATTTAAGACTTTTATTTCACTACACTAAAATACATGTAATTGCGGTATATCTTCAGGAAACAAAGTTAGAGCCAGCGAAATAATTAGGCAAATATTGAACCAGTCAACAAGAAAATATTTTTATTTTTGTTTTGGTTTCTATTCTCATGCAGCTGTAAATCACATTATTGGTTTTTCGAATTTTCGCTGGTGACGATACCATAGGCAATAAAATAAGGTGATTACTCGGTGCGAGAAGCATAGTATAAGGTGGATGCATAATAACGTACCCATCAAGCTCTCAGGACTTTTGGTGAGTCCCTTTTGATGCGAGTGGTCTGATGTTGTCCTGATGTAACACAATTACCCTCTTGTTGGCCAAAGCGGAGCGCGGATTGCTTACTTCAGACGTTCCTAATGCTGAAAGTACAGCTCCAAAATAAATGGCTGTAGGGCAGCAGTTCATAGTGAACGATTTCCTACCAATACCACCATACACACAAGAAAGTCTTCCTGGCCTTCAATCTCAACTTGGGTACCGTTTGTGTCGGCTTGCCGCTCTTGACCACTATGCTAAAAGTGATCCCCTTTTCATTACCATTTATTGCTTAGACCTTTCTGTGAAAATTTCTTGCGCTGAAATGTAGGCTAGGCTTTTGTGTTTAATTAAGGAATCTGGATAATTTTAACAATTCAACAATTTTTGAAATATAAAAATGCTACCAATATGTCATCTAAATGTTTTTAAAAGTTACAAATAAAAAAAAAAATAGATAAAAATCAATTAAATAAATAATTATTTTTTTATAATACTTTTGGTACGCTTATCTAAAAGGTAAATAGAATCTTGTAATATTTCATAACCCTTAAATCATCAATCAAAATCGCATCGAAAATCAATTTTAGAAAAAATAATTAAAATTAAAAAATTCTGCCACGAAACGCATGTAATTTATAATCCATTATTACATTTTTTTCCTTTTGTTTTTTTATATCTTTCCATTTCAACTTTTAATTGCCGACGAGAGTAATTTATGCAAATTTCAATTGAAATGCAAATTCTATGAAAATAATTAACAGTTTTAATTATGCGCATTGAAACGGTCCACCTGTATCGGCGATGGTCGGGCTGGTGAGGAAGGTAAGAGGGGGTGGGGAGGAGATCAAGTGTCAATACGCAACCGAGTGGCAAAACAAAAGGCGAGCAAAGCCGGTCTGACAAAGTCAACGAGACCAACAATGCGCGAAATGAGCAACAGCAGCAGACAGGTATTGAGTGTTCAGCAATGACAACAACAAAAAACAAGGCAGAATGTTGGCCAACAAAGGAAATTAACAATGCACATACACAAGCATTCACTAGTAAATTTGAACAATTTAATATGGAAAACCACTACATCGCTTCGTTGGTCCACTGCGTGATTGACGCACTGACGGATTGACAGCGTGACTGGCTGACTGACTAACTGACTAATTTACTGACTGATTGGCTTACTCGCCAGCTGGCAGCGTAGTCATTTGATTTATTTGTTGTAAAAGTGCTTGACCAATGATAAATGCGGGTTTAAAGTGTCGTAATTATATAATGTCGCTGGAATTGGTAATCAGTATGTGTTTTACAAAAATACATGTGAGTGTGTGTATTGATGATCATCAATTTAAACAGACTGCAGCACAGGTTTTATGGATTACGGGAAGCTAATTATTGATTACTTTAGTTTTACTGCAAACTTGTATAATAAATTTAAAAAAAAAACGCATATAAATATAAAATAAAATAAAATATAATATAATAAAATAAAATAAAATAAAATAAATTAAAATAAAATAAAATGAAATGAAATACAAGAAATTAAAAAACAAATAAATTAATTAAAAATATATAATAAATTAAATGAAATATAATAAAATAAATTACAATAAAAAACAAAGTAATATTTAAAACAAAATAAAATTAAACTTAAGTTAATATAAATTAAATAAAGTTTTATCAAAAACTATTTTAATAAATTAACGTTTTAAAAAGTTATAGTTTCGTTTACAATAATATTAATTGAAAGTATGTATATAACATTTAACTGAAGGTGTCATATTTAAAATTACTTTTTATATTTTTAAGATGCACTAATATTGATTTTTTTTATTTCCTCTCTTTTCAGGTAAGTTTTTGGCATAGTCATTTTTAGAAAATATTGGCAACACTGGCATAACCTTTTTATTTTGCATGGCAGTAAGTGGTAGTTTTAATGGATTTAATATTATTTCCATTCATAAAATTTTTAAAAAGAAAAATGAGCTAATAAAATTGAAAACCTCAATGTAAATGTTTAAAAAAATTTAAAAATCTTGTAAATTTGGGTTTATTTTTTCAGTGTGACCTTACAATAATACGATGCAATACAATTTCTTTTAGGGATATATGTGTAAAGCGTTGCCTACATTTAGGCAGAGTGATACAAAAAATTACTGTAAGATGAAAACCAAACACCAAAGCATAATAAAATAATAAATAAATAAATAAATAATAAAAATTTTTTTAATAATTAATAGTATATATATATATACATATTAAATTTTAAAATATTCTAAAGAAAATTATGTGCATAGATATTTTAAGGAAATAAAAAAAAGATTTATAAAAATATCAGTTAGTGTAAATACCGGTATGTATGTTGCGAAATTTTCAAATTCCTCTATAAAATTTAAAGCTTTGCATAATTCTTGGTGTGTATTGCCATTTCCGGCGCCGTCATACTGAACACTTAAAGCAAATGTCTTTTTAATTTGGTCTGTTTTAATTAACTATTTACTTAAACGTTTGACAGAGAGTAGAAGATTGCTAATAAATAGGATAAATTTCAGAATGGTGTAAAGTATAATAGTAATTAAAAATTTCAGTTAATTAGTAAATTCAAACTGATTTAAAATAACAAATTTCAAAATGGAATCATAAAAGTTTAGAAATTCTTTGCCGAAGTAATGGAACGAAGCTACTTTTCAAAAGGATTTCATCAGTGTGCCAATTTCTGCTAGACCAAAACTTCCTTCTGCTCTATCGATTTCTGGTTTTAAGGTATTTTCGCACATAATTTATTCACACGAAAATCCTAAACAAAATAATTAACTACCGAAAATTGTAAATTACTACCACAAAAGTGTACGCAAGCTTCTTTGCCGCTAAGTGAACTTAATTCAACTCATCCTCCTATGAAGAAGTTATGCAGGAACTAAAAAAAAAAAGTACACAAACAAAACTTATGAGAAAATTTCATTAAGTTTCTATCTAAGCAGCTACAGCCTCGTCAACTTGCAACACGCAGCCACCACCGCGTCGCATTGTCTCTTCCAACCAACGCTTGTCTGGCACGTTTTCGTCAAGTGTCTGTCGACCACAAATATCATTAAAAGTGACAATTATACTGCGGAGCTGTCAAAATAATACAATAATTTCCATTAAACTGAACACGTTAAGCTTTAATTACACCAGCGCTAGCGGCATGGAGAGAGGAGCAGATGAATAACTTAGCAAAGTTGATTGCTCGTTAAGTAAAGAGAAGAAAGACAAGTAAAATGGCAGCAGAAAAAATCAATAAATCTACCGAATGCCTTGAATCGAAATATTTTCTCCAATTTTCTTAAAGTTTTGATGTTAATTTAAGTTTACTGTGGGTTGAAACAATCACTTGAAGGGAGCAAAAAAAAGAAAGAACTTTCCTAACTTTCTCACAAAATACCAATATTTCAACTTAATTTTCCACGCTCGACACCTCTGGGCTATTTCAATATGCCACATTCTGTGCGAGACAGCTGGAGCTTGGAAGTCTGGCGTCAGGCACCACCGCACGTTGCTTATCCACACTCAACCGCGTGCAACAATGAAAATTTTCAATTTCTGACTAAAATTGTACGGTATTTAACGGTATTCAAATACGATTTTATATTTTATATAATGTATTTGAATACACACATATATAAATATGTATATATATAAATATACCTATAAGTGTATACAACGGAAATTGAAGCTCAAGCATATCGAAAGAGCCAAACAAGCAATCATAAACAAATGCGAAGAGGAAATAATAACGCTGCAGAAGAAATAAGAAAAAAAAAAATTATACGCAAATGGACAGCCCGAAGCGCAACTGAGACTACAAAAATAAGAGAAATAAAAAAAAGAAAAACGAAAAACAAAAAATAAATTAAAATAGAACGCTTTGAGGCCAGCATGAATGCGCGGTGACTGGAGTGAAAAAGTAAACACAAGTGGCATGAGATTTTACTACGCAAACGATTTTGAAATTAAAAATCCGCGAAATTGTTGCATGCCACAAGACGCATATACATACACGCGGAAACATTAACACACACACATACACACACTAACACACATTAAATTTAGCATTTGCTTTGGCCACTGAATGTTTTTACCTTGAATGCGTATTGCCGCCTTGCCACAGGGTCGTTACCTCTGCTCTTCGTTACACTACGCTCGACCTCCGTTTTTGCGTGAATTTTGTTTACTTTGATTGTTGGCTTGGATGGGCTGGGCGTTTTTGTTATTGTCGATTGTTTGGTTGCTCGCATTTATTGTTTTAGAATTTTAATTTTGTTTTTTTGTTCTTTGGTTTTTGGCTTTGTGAAATTTTCGTAGCCGCATTTTACCGCAGATATGATTCCATTTCAATGCGTTTCCGTTTCCATTGCGATTGTGTAGAGTTTTGGCTGTCGTGGCGCACATGGCGTGGGTGAATGTAGATGGTAATTTAGGTGCTTAGCAGATGAGAAGCAGCAACGAAAAGGACAAAAATTTACGCTGGAGCAGCACCCAAAACTAGCCCAGGGTTGGGTGTTGATGTCGTTAGTGTACGGGGGAAAGGTTAATACTCACTCTGTTTAGCACAGATCTACATCGAGAAGAAGTTCGAACTTTTATGGACTTATGTTCGATGGTTGCCGACTTTTCGCTGTTGAAGTTTGACATCCCTTTTATCCGAGTAAAGTCACAAAAGCCCAGAAACTTTCTAAAGTCTTGTGAAGTGTAGGTCATCTGAATTTCTTACATAAACCTTTCTTCTTAAGGAGAGTAAGTAGACGTTAGACAGACGTTAGTGCGGTGAATTGTGGGCTGCAGTGTTTTTCACAAAAACAAAAGGGCTACCGGAGTTCGCATTCGCGGGGCGCCCAATCGCAGACGCGTTTTTTCGACTCTCTTAGTGAGTTTTAAAAAATTAAATGAGGTAGGAGCTCTGTTGGATGCTTACTGAGCTGTGTGGATATTCCCTGCAACCAAAAGACTTATATTTTTTCTTGAGCCCGTCCAAAGTTATAAAGCATCGTGTTACTTCAATGAGATCGCACAATGAGGTTGGCATAAGAGACGATAATTTTTAATAGCCGACTGGGAGAAGTATTTTGACGATCCGCAAAACCGACGGTTATTTAGAGGAGAGACCATTATCTTCTCGTGAACAGTTTGTTTGAAATCCTACCAACAACTATTCCAGACAAAAAGCTTATGATGCGTCGCCAGTTCCGAATATTATATATATATATTATATTATATTATATTTCATGCATGTCCTGCATGCAAAGAGTTTCCACATGACAGGTTGGATACCGTTGGTTCGAGCTCTTCAAAAGTGCTCTTTTACTAGACTTCGGCGACATATACTAACTATGTCTTCCTCAGACGGGTGTGGTCAACACGCTGCAACAAGGGCAACAAGGGGTGTGATACCGTCTTACCAGAAACACCTCAATAGTCTCTCGAATGTATCTAGATACAAGCCGAGCAGTGGTTATAGGGTTTACTGAGGTTTGTTAAATAAGTGACCAATTTAATAGGGAAATCTATTCGATTTCATGTAGTCATGTTGCGTCACAACGTGTAAGTAGGCTGTGAACAGATTAACACAACAACACATTGTAAACCTTACTGAGCTCTCTGGTCTTACCAACTTAAAACGTAAGTAAACAATCAGATAAGCAGGTTCACACTAGCGAGGCCGTTAAGGTCGACTGTTTTAGATCATCCAGAGCCATTGAATTTTGTCTAAAACAGTGAAACCTCGGTAAACACTAAAGATCCTGGAACAACTATTAAGTAGAGCGTGGGCAACATGGATCGCAAGAAAATCGAACTATCACTGATACTATTCTGCTAGGCCTGCTGGCAGAGTTCAGAGCGAAGACGGAAAAGACCGAAACACTAGAGTATTATCATCGTTAGTGTCCGAACTTCAACGATTAAGACGATGCCCAAAGCTCCAACGTCAAAAAGTTTTGTATATAGGCTTGAACAAATTAGAAACAACCTCTCCTTTCATCCAACCAACCAGAGTGATCAATCAGTATATACTTGGATAGCCAAGCTAACACCAGGTCTCTTCAATGTAATAGCATCACATTAAAATTGGCCCTGAAATATACAATAGAAGTAGTTCAAACAAACTCTCAGCTAGATGCAAAACGGCCGTGGTTTGTGTGCCCGGATAGAGAGACATCCCAGGTAACTGTATGGCGGATGAGCTAGCAAGAAAGGACGCCACTCTAGCTACAATAAATTCTACGCACGTCCTGGACGTACCGTTTTCAACGGCAAAGCTGAGACTAAAGCTGGATCGCTTGACGAAGGAACCTACAACGTGTCTACACAATTTTGGCCTGCACTGGATGTTAAAATATCAGAGAATCGAATCCGACTAAACCGGTTCAACAACGGGCATCCTAACTGGATGCTGTTTAACAGGACCTCACGGTCCTGTTGTTGTATCTGAAGGAACAAAAAAGAGGCAGAGTCTGTCAAGCTCTACCTCTGCCACTGTCCAGCGCTAAGCAACACACGATATAAATACCTAAGATAACACTGCTTTGACTCTGTGACTGACATAGGAACAGTTCATAAGACACCCGAAATGATTCGTACATCTCAGACGGTGAGAAGTACTGCGCAGAAGTATCACAGCGGTTCTTGAGTCCTAAGTGCGCTGGTTGCTTTAACTAAACTCAACTCAACTCGCTCAGATCCCCCACGAAATTCCACTATTCCTGGACATGGTAGATTCTATTATTCCCTACCTACGCTGACGGCTCAAGGGTATCAGGGAACTGGGAGAATTATCTACTGCATTCATTTTAAATAAAAGTGACAGACTCTTGAGTTGTATCTCGAGAAATATGTAATGTTATCGCATCTCAAGTACTTACATTCCATTATCAAGAGACACAAGAGAAAAAGTGAGTTCATCGTCCTTAAAAAGATTCCTGCTGAAAAATGAAAATCTCTGCTGTACCACTTAAATCGATACCTGCAGCTCATATTAGCAAATCTAATTTACTAAACTGGTAAAATGGAAGTAAAAAATGTGCAGATGATGCACTAAACATAGCCAAAGTAAATAAATATGAGAGTAAAGTTCGAAAAAATAAATAGAAAATCCTCCACAAATTAGGAAAATGAAGTAGAGAATTGAAAAAAGTTGGGA